TATTAATATATTATAATACTACCTATTATTATAATTATAGCAGAACATGTACTACAACCCATTGCAAAATTAAGCAGAACGGAGACACCAAATGGCCGTTTTGGTTTTTGAAAACTAGCGTAGGGGCTAAATGTGTACGTCTATTGAAACCAGTTTTGAGCCTTGACCCATAGGTGAAATAATAATAATAACAATCGATATGCAGGCACGCGCATCTATCGGCAAACTTGTCAAACCTGTATTTGTATCTGAGGGTTGATTTTGGTCGATAGGGTTTAAAAACTTAAACATATACGCGTTCTCATCGACTATGTTGTTTTCCACCTTTTAGTAGATCTCAAATCACATATTGTATCGTACATAATATCACGGTTATCTGTCAGTATTAGTCGTCGGTAATGTTTGTCTTTTTTTAAGTTAAATTAAAACCCATTATTTCATTCAATTTTAACGAAGCTCCAGCCAGTAGCCGAATCAAACTCAAAACATTTATCTAGTCAGTTATACTAGATAACCGTGCCTAATATAAATCTCAACATGGAAATCCATATCAATAGGTATAGCTAAACATATGACAACCGCATAATACCGAACAATATCGGAGCGGAAATAGATTAAGCAGCTAATGTAAAGCGGTCGCTACTTCCTCCTAGGAAATTTCTAGGCAATAGGTAACTTATAATAATTTTTATCCATATTATAATACAAGTCGTGCTGGTTTAAGCATATTTTTTTATTCGTGTATTTTGTTTAAAGCACGTTAATTTAATAATTGTATTTATTACAAATGAGATTAGGTAAAAATGGCCCAGGAAAAAATGTGATCAAGTACTAAAATGACCAAGACGTTTTTAAATATAAATATTTTTTAAGATAATGCATATTGTAATATTTTATTATAGTTTTATAATTTATATATTAATAATAAAAAAATTACACTAACTAAAATGTATTATATTATAACAAACAAAAATATATGAAAATATTAATATTTTTCTATTATATTGATAACATTAGACATAAACATAATTTTAAAAAATTGATACAAAATTGTGTAATTTTATTTACATATTGAATAATTTGTTAAAACAAAAATGTTGTCATTTTTTGTAATATTAATCATACAATACAATTAATGCATGTTATAAATATCCAAACAAAAAAAGTAAAGTTTTATACTTACAACTTAATTTTTGTTTAAGTTTCATTTTACCTTCAATCCTTTTCTTCAGAGTTTTATTTCTATTGATAATTTAAAAACGCATTTCTCCGGGCCACGTCTAACACGATAATTAATTGCACGGTAACTGGAAAGCAAGAAGTTTTCGGCGATACACATTACTTACACACGCAGCCCCCTAAGGGAGCTATTTGTCATGTTAGTGTTACACCTAGTATGTACATTAGCCGTGGAAGCAGAAGTTCGATTTTGAAATGTAAGTAGATTTGGTTTCGTGAAATATTTTCAAAACGCCGAATTCTCGCTATCACATTTACCGCTACGATATATTATATTACATTTTAGTATAATGAATGCAAGATATTAAACCCCTACAAAAAGGAAAAAACGAATGGAAATTGGTGGACTACACTTTACATACTGTTTTGTTATACACATATTCAGTGAAGTTTGAAATCAGCCGTATATTGATTCTATAATAATACACCAAGTTTAGAATTTGAAACATATGATTTTTTAAGAAATGCGGTTTCTTAGTTCGCTTACAATTGATTTGTGAATAATATTTGGTGTTCTCTACCTATTTAACGTACCACGTAGGTAACCGTTTAAAAATTCGCATTAAGTTATAAATTAGTACGTTTATTTTTTAACAAACCGCAGTATAACAAAATTAGCTTAAAATAAAAATAAAAATAATAATATAAAAGGCAATATACATTTTAGAGTACATAAAAATAAGGTAATAAGATATTATTTTTAATAAGATATTTTAATGAAAAGTCTACACCATTATTTTTAATATAATTTTCATTATATAAATGTTTTGAAACATAAATTATTAAAGAGTGACAAGTGACAACTGGTTTATATAAATTGGTATAATATATTTAGTATTATACAAATGATCTTATACATTTGTTAGTTTTGTAACATACATTTTTCCGAAGAGAAATAGTACAAATTTAAACAACGCAATTTAAAATAAATTGGTACAATCATTTAGTTTTTTTAAAAATTTGATTTGATTTTTAATTGTTATAATAATAGAATATTTTATGTGATGCTTTTATGATGTACTTGTATTTTTTATTAGCGTTAGCAAATAAACCAACTGAACGGTTTATATAGTATAAAAAAAGGAGTACACGATCCACCTAAAAACCATTATCCTTTTTTTTATCTTTATTAAAAATTAAACGTTTTACCATGTATGTAAATCCCTGTGCTAAGTGACAATGTCAACAGGCTGGAAAAAGGTCGCCGTAAAAGTTTTTCGTAATTTTTTTTTTAAAACCACCCTTATGTTTGTGTAATAGGGTCCCTGAGCACGCGCCAGTGGTTTTACTTTTTTCCTTGTCACGCTTACCCTTTTTAACCGAGGTGGCTATATTTTTACAAGTTAATTTTTTGCAGATCGTTTACCTGCTCAAATATGCACTAGGGGTATTTTTTAATGCACTCACGTGTATCATAACAGTTCTAACGGTATAAATTAATTTTTCAACAACCACAAAAGGTTTTTTATCCCGAAAAATAAACAACCTAATAAGGTTGACAGGCTTAAGTTATATTTTATTTCTGAATGTTTGTTGCACTTTTAAAACAATTTTTTAATACATATCCCAAGTGTTCGTGTGGTTTATAGTATGTATCACATTAAAATATAACATAAAAAATGTTTTTTTTTTGTTATAAATTATTTTTTATTTCATAATAAATATAAAATAATTATGTAATCTAAGAAAAATAAGTTTGACTTACCTACAGACTACAGAAAAAAAAATGTGATGTTGTTTAACTAAAGTTTTTTGTACAGTAACTTTTTCTTTTTATTGAGTTTTTTAAAACGCGATAAATTGAAATATTATTATTTATTTGTGATAGATTATCGTCATCCAACTACTCTAGTCTGCGGACTATACTAATCTGTACAAAATATAAATTTTTTTTTACAGATTAGTATAGTAATGGTAAATTTTAAGAATGTTTTAGTTCTTGTAGCTCTTCTGAAAACTACGAAAAATGTCACATAGACCATTTTGCCGTATAACATTTGATGTATTTTTTATATCGACCGAAATAGTATACTACTAGTTATATCAAACGGTATTAGAATTCTTGGGTCAGATATTATCGATGGGACAGATATTAACGTGAGGGGTGGCTTTATTTAGTTCCAATTAAATAATAAATAATAAAATTATAAATAATTGTATAGATTGACTAATAATAATTACAATAATACACGTAGGTATATAGTTTAATATTTTTATGATTTAGGAAAATATTAAAATGTCGCATAGTAATAATTATGAAGTCTATGAAGTGGAAAATAATTGTTTACTTGTGTATAATGTAAAACCCGTCACAACGTCAAGCGTGTGAAATCTGTCAAAATATTTCCGTCGTGTCTTACATTTACTCGTACATATTTTCCTATACTTAAATGTATTTTTGTCACGTTTAATCTAATATAACCTTTTAAGCTTTTATTTGGATATACCTATAAATATATTTTAGCATACCTAATTGAAAATATTAAATTAAAATGACAAAAGTATTTTTATTTTTATTTTGTACTATCTACAAACTATACGTTCGACCAACTATAACTATAGTTAAAATATAAACACAAAAAAGGCTTAATATTTATTTAGTTGTATTTACTTTTGATTAAAAAAAAAGTACTAAAATCCGATAAAAGCTGCACAAATGTAGTACAGTAGATTAAAGTTATTGTTTTAATAAAAATAATAATAATAATAATTTTCAAATAATATCAAATTTTAATTATCAAAATAAATAAATAAATTACATATTTTTGAAATTGAATGACTGTTAGTTTTTATAAGTGTTTGAAATAGCCTTCATTATTAGCTATACAGAATTGTATTTGGTGGTCCACATAGTCAATGCGTATGCCAATATTTTTAAAATTTTGTAAACTTTTTTTATGTACTTATCTTAAAATTCCAGTTTAGATGTATCCTTTATACATTTTTTATTTTTTAACTATACTTTATTTGTAAGCTAAATTGGTACAAAGACTATACGGTTTTTTAAATACTCTAAGAAAATAAAATCAAAATGCAGATTATATTACTAAAACATCAGGAATTTGGCACTAAGTTTGGTTCTAAATAAGGTATAAGTAGAACCGCATGGTGAATTCGTGATGTTCCAATACAACAAATCAGGCGGTTAGTATAATTTTACCCTTCAGTAATATTTTCTCCGACTCTGTGTTCTCAGGTTATTTGTAAATATAACTGATTACCAATAATAAATGAGTCGAACAAAGTAACTAGGCGTATCCACGAAAACCACGGGGGGGGGGGTCTATGTGCTACCGTGCGAATGTTATTTTGGCCTCTAGGCGAAATCCAGCAGTGCAACCGAGAATAGCTGTTGTACATAGTAGACTCGTAATTCTATTTCTAAGTTAGTGTGTCATACATTATTTGGCCACTACGGTTCTTCCCTCGGGGTCCGAAGACCCTGACCCGCAAGGTCAACTCGGGGCGATACGGCAAAGGGGTTGGGGGCCAGATGTCCGGCAACGCGACAGAGGAACAAGTAATTCCGGTCCTACTCCCGGTACACACAATAAACGTGTTACTATCGATAAAACTAGTTCGATAGCTATTCGATTACCAAATGGCAGAACAACATGGGAAAACTGGATTGACAGGAACGAGGCCCATACATTACTCTATCCCTTCGGCAAAACTCGATTGAACCCCTTTTTATTTAAAATATTATTTCCACGGCGGATATTATCGGTTCTTGGCCGTTTGGCTTTCAAACGCTCGTTGACCGCCAATAGTGTTGGACAAGCTGTAAATATGATTTTACCAACAAAATACGAATGACCGTAAGTACTTATCTTTTCCATTTTTTAACTATAAAAAAACATACAGGTTGATTCATTAAGGATAAGGCATAACATTTTTTCTGAAGTTTCCAATAATTGTCTTGTTTTTCTTTTTGGAGACACTAGAATGTTAATATTATTTTACAATATTCAAATATTTAACATTTCTTCCAAAGCTCTAGCAACTTTTAAGAAGTATACGTATATGTAATAGTATTAAATGTTTAAATTAAGAATAATTTTCTGATAATTTTGACTTGTTGATAACCAATTTTGTATAACTCACATTAAGGTTACTAAAGTTTTCAATTTAGGACGAGAGGAAGATTACGGTTAAGATAAATGTCCATTCATAAAAATAATACTATATTCCACCCTTCTTCCTACTTTCCTAAATTTTAAACTTTAATAAAAAGTAATTGTTTAAAACGGGTTATCGAATAGTCGATATTTTTTACCAAATTATGCATAATTTGAAATGCTAATAAAATGTTTCAAAATTTGATGGAACTCTAGAAAATAAACAAAAATAGTAAATATTTGATTATTTTATAATACTGTACAGTTATACAAACAAAAATTATTTCAAAATTAAAAACTAAAAAACTATTAAGAAAAAATGAATGTCTTATCCATAATAAATCACCCTGTAGCTGCAGCTAGAAAGTATATGAACGTTGTCGATGAAAATCTATATACAAATGGTAATCGAAAAGTAACAAACATGTAAATTAGAAGCTCATAATTATTTAACGACCTAGTCTCGAAAAACCCTATTAATATTACTCTTATTACTTATAAAAAATAAATCAATCAATGAAACAGGGTTGACGTTATTTCAATCTCTCGTCTTCCAACGTTATTTCCATTGCTTCTGTGCTTCCTTTCTTCTCACAAAACGACCTACGATGTACATTTCCGACAGTTTTAATCGAAAATTGTCATCAGCAGCAAGTTTGAGTAACGTATATTATATTTCTTTCTTTAGCCGTATTTTCTTCGTTTAATAATTATTAAACTCAGTCGTCGTCGACGTCTTTCTTGTTGTCCGCACCGAGCGAACGCATAATAAATAGGCTCGGAAACTTTATTATTACATTTTCCGTCGTCGCCAGCTTCCCTTTTCCTTATAGCCTTCAACTCGATTCTCCCTACCCGCCACGTCTTTCGTTATTTCGTTTTATCGCCAAATAACTCAAATTATTTCTCTCGTCTTCAGCTTACAATGTGTATTGTGGGCGATGAAAGGAACCGTGCACACATATACGAGCATGAGAAATGTATTACAGAGTGAAAGAGAGGCGGGGAAAGACGTGAAGGGTGGGTTGGCGAGAGGATGCGGCACGTCAAAACTAAAGTTCGCCCTCTTTTCCCGGGGTTGTTCTCTCTGCTCAGCCATTGTGTATATGTGCGCCCGCTGTTCTCGCTATCTAACCTCTCCTCCTTTTCCACCTCTGCCACCGCCGGTCCGAAAAACCCTTCGACTTACACGCGGGCTTCATTATTCATACAAAAGTTTTCTCGTCAACATTTTCCTTTGGCTCTGCTGCCGCCGCTGTTGCTCTCCCGACGTTTCATTTTTGCCTCCTTTTGCCCCCAAGGGCTTCCCGAACCCTTTCCATGCAGAGACGTCGCGCATAAATTATCTATCGACCCGGACTGTCGTTTCCTCCGTCTCTACAGAGCGCTTACCTACTCCATAGCAGTTTTTGGTTTTTCACGGTTCGACTTTTGTCAACTACAACGATGACGACGACAACAACCTTTGGGTGAACACATAATAATGTAAACAAGCTTTGTCCATTTGTGTAACCCAAAACTATCTCTTTGCCCAACACCGTGATATTCCTCTTATTTCACCATTTATATATCGACAAACGCATAGCGTCCAAAAAACTTACTTGTATAATAGTATAAAAACAATAAATCTACTGTTAAAATTTTAAAACGTTACAAGTTAAACTTTGCTGTGTTAATTTTAGTTCAGTGAATAGGAGTATTTTTTGATAGTTAATTTATTTTTCGGACTATCGTAGCATCTTAATTGACAGCGATAAAAAAAAAACTTTTTCATCTAAACATAGCTACGCAGAATCCGTTTTACTCGATCCATAGTGGTTTTAGAACCAAAACACTTCTTATAGAATCGAAAGATAACAATATTTCGGAAACAACGTTTTATCCGATTTTGAAAATAATTAGGTAAAAAAAATAGTTTTATTAAAAAAGTAAAAAATGTGATTCTAAATGTTTAGTATTGAGTTTAGACAAAAAAAAAACAGATATGACATTGTTTCCAAAATATTGTCTTTAAGCAGTACCAGTTTGGCGCTTTTCCAAATGCATGGAAACACACTTTGCTTCAAGCTTTTATTAAATATGCCCAGTAGTATGTATATTGACGTTCTGTTGGATTGTTGTTGAGATTTGTCGATTGTTAAGGCTTTTCCCGTGGTTTTTATTTTCTCTATCGTAATTTCTTTAAACATTTGAGGGGTTCTTGTTTCTGTCCACCTATTGACTTGGTGAACCGAGAAGAGTGGGTTTACGTTGGTGGTTAGTCTTCCCGTTATTCCGGGAATCTTCCTTTTGCCTACTAGTTTTTTCATGACTAACTTCTTAGTCTGTTTCCACTTGAGGGCATAGTTTTTTCCGACTACTTTCTTTGCTTTTCTTTATTGTTTTTTTTAAGGGTTCCTCGACTTCTTAAAGACTCGACTTTCGTTGAACATTGTTCGTCAGTTCTTCGTCGTAGAGCCCTTTGGAGTGTTCTGGCAGCCAATCATTCTTTCCGTAGCACCGCGGTTTTGGAGGTCCACCAGTGAACTGGTTTTTTCCCCATTTGTATCTACTTTTTGGCATTGAGCTGTCGCATACTTTTTCAAGGAACTTAAGGAGTTTAAGAGAAAGATGGGGACCCGGGCCGCGTAGCGAACCGCTGACTAAAAGTGTTCGGTTTAAATAATAGTTTTTTTCCTAAGTTGTTGGTCAACGGTGTTGGTCGGTTGCTACCACTATTTAGGCCCAGCCAATATAGTTAAGCAACCACCGACGGTATGAATGATTGGATGGGTGACCTAAAAAAAAAAAAAAAAATAGTGAAAAAAATTGAAGTTTCTTTGTTAGATATAAGTAAGCTACTCGTTACGACGTTTAAAAGTGATTACTAAACTGATTTAAAAAGTACTCACGCCTCATTGGCGGGAATAATGACATGACTAAAAGTGTCTCGTAACTTGACACAGTCTTTCGTCATCGCAGAGGATGAAACGTCGTAAGTCGCCCCCGATATATAAAAAAGTTTTAAAAATTCAAAAAAATTCAAAAATTGTCCACTCATCCAATCATTCATACGTGGAAACACCCGTTGACCAATTTATTTTTTATGTTTCAAAAAATGATTTTTTAAACTGTCATATTGGTTTCTCTTAAAAAACTCATATTAAATCATCGATTATTAAAATATTGATAATTTATCATAAATCTAACAAATTGTAATTATAAATGGTTTTTATTTAATTGATGACGTTATGAAATGACACAGTTTTACAAAACTATTAAACTTCGTGAGTAGGTTTTTAATAACTACAAAATATAGATAAACATAAAAGAAACGGCGTATTTCAGAAATGAACGTTTTATATTTGAAAACGGGTAGGATATTTACAATATCTTACAGCGTCCATTTTCAATTTTCTGTTCTGATTACTGTAATACATTATAACATTCTGTTATAATAACAATTTTGGACTGTACCTAACCAAATTTTAATTACATAATACTGATCGGCTTATTTTTTTTTTGTAAAAAAAAATAGTTATTTGATAATAATTTGACATAATTTAGAACTTAGAGTACCTTAATAACAATAGTGTAAGTGACATCCTTTACAGCACTGCGTTAATTCATAGCACCTAACGATGCTCTAAAATATGTAAAATAGTAAAATGGTATTCTTATATAATACTATCTTATAATTTTTATAATAATCGTGTTTTTAATTGCTAACACAATATACCAACAATTTAGACGAACCGTGTTAGATTCACGATGTCACAAAATACAGGTACCATTTTACAAAATTGTTTTTTAAAAACAAATAATTAAACAATTATAGTTGGTAATATGTTTGTCATAGTGATGTGTTATAACATAAAGAATTTATTATATCACATTTTTTTTTATAATATAAAAATAAAATTTAGTTAGCGCTTTGAATAGTATTGTTAAATTTCATAATTGGTATTACCAAAATTACCCTAGTTAAATAATAACTATTTAATATACATAACTATTATTTTTATTTTCTATGCAAGTTATATGCAGATTCCTTAATATAAAATCAAGTATACGTGTATGATGTATTTAAGTTAATATGTTAAAATTACACTGATTGGTTAATACATTGTCCACATTAGTATGCACAATCCAGACAAAAATCGAACCGATTGGATATTATAGAAAATATGCGAGATATACTTATTGTCCCGGGCTGTTGTAATAATATTGTGGCAAATAGCTAATTATATTTTGATTGCCTAATGAAGTCTGGAAAAGTACAGAGGTGCTTAGTATTTGAAAAGAGTTCTTCCAATACCGGACAGTCTGATTTCATAATAATAATGATCTAAGTAAAATGTTTTTTTTTGTTGAAACGATATCTATTGTTAATATTAGACTCGATGGACACTAACTTTTACTTTTGTATATACCTACCAGATATAGTGTGGTAGACATACAGATACTTTGTGTTCTACGTGTATTGTTTACGGTCATTACCGTTTACACGCATTAATATAAATTATAATGGCGGCTCGAAGAGAATTTTTAATTATATTACAACAGTGGTCTCGGTCGTTACGTGACGGAGTGGTCTTGCGATGTAAGCCAAAGGCGGCGGTACGGCAAATCGAAATTAATTATATTAGGGGCCGCGTGTCTTTTAAAGCGGGCGGGCGAGTAAAAGGGTTTTCCTGAAGGAACCGTACTATACAATGCTC